CTATGGCACTATCGTTTGCAGCTCAATGTCTACAGATGGATATTAGAGCAGTATTACGATGCTCAGGTGTCAGCGATGTACGTTGTCTCATTCCATCCTGAGAACGCAATCTTTGTAGACAAGGTTCCCGACACGCAAGGGGAAGCAAATGCGATTATGACCCTTCAGCGGTGTCGCAACAGGGAAAGCGGTAATCACGCCGATTCCGATCGTGTTGGCGGCTCGGATCCTGATGTTGTCTCAGACGATGTAACATTTTCACAGCGGGTGGAACAGGAGCTGGAGACTCAGGTCGCAACTCCGGCAGAAGCTCCGCCGTTTATACGTTGCAAAGTCAACTCACAGGACCTAGGTGAAGGGTTGCTGCATGTAGATGAAACCAGGCTGATGGAAGGAATGGTCCTGGATGTCTACCAATGGAGAGAAGGCAACATTCTCTTTGAGATCTCAGAAGTGAAGAGCATGGTCGCCTCGTCTCCTCAATCCAGCTCATGGCCTGATTCATTACAGCATGTTGTACAGGGAGCTATTTGTGTGCATCGATTGCGGCTATTGGACATCTCACGTCGAGAAGAAGTCTTTTTCCTAGAGCTAATTGAAGGAGGCTCGCGACACGTAAGAGCCCACAATGGCCAGTGCTTCTTTCTGAGTGAGCATGGACACTGGGCTGTTTACAATGGTGTGATCCCCCAAGGAGTTCTGGCACGATGCAAGAAATTTCTACTTTATCTTGAAGGCCTATACAGACTCTTACCTGCTAGCACACTTCGCGTTCCAGATGCCATTATCAACGCAGTAGCGGCTTTGTTACATTGCCGTAATGGCTCGGCAGATCTGCTTCTTCAAGACTGCGAACGAGCTGCCATCTGCGGTGGGCCCGCTAGTTCCAAACGGCGTCGAGGGAATGCCGTCGCCCAGGAAGATGCGTCTGAGGAGGAGAAGGATGACAAGCCATGGACCGAAGTCATGGCGAGCACTGTCGGCAAACTCTACGTCAAACTGTGTCCTGGCTGCAGGTTTTCGTTCTTTTGAATTAGTGGCCGATATGTTGCCGTAATGGACATTGCTGAGGCAAAGTTCCCTGCTGCAAGATCATCTGATCAAGTATTATGTGGAATGGTGTCGCGTCGACGATCCTCGGAAATCTGGCTTTTGCGCCCAGGATATTTGTTTGGTGTTTGATGAAGACAAAGGCCTGAATCAGGTACGGAAGTCTGGCTCTAACAACATATACGTATTTTTGCCGCATCGTATCTTGGATCCTGTGTCTGCCGACGCCAAGATGCGAGTGCACAAATTTTGGCAGACAACATACTGGAGCAACCGTCCTGCCTTCAAATGCTTTACGGCAGCCCTCACTTTAGCGATACGCGGTGAGAATGTCGATCGCGCTTTTTGGGGCCTGGGTTCTGGCGGTGTTGGTCAAAGCCTACAAACTGCTCATCTGGAAGCCATCTTGGGCAGTTTTCATTCATGCTTGGATATGAATATCTATTATTCAGATGAAGAAATGCGCAAACAGGCTGCCTCTCTGCTAGGCAAACTTGTCGTGACGGGCCAGGAGTCTGTGCAGGGTAGCCGCAAGGGCATGCGAGAAGACGTGTACAAGCAACACATGTCTGCGGACAAGCTTCCGGAGCGCATGCCCTATGCCATAGACACGCACTTGGTGGAACTCCGGGGTTGGAAGCGGTTCGAGTTCAACACGTTGCCAAGGTCGCTTGCCTTTATCAGTGTAGTTGACAGATTCTTGGCTGAACACAATCATATATGCTTTCAGGTTCGTGGGTGTCAACGAGGAGACCTTCAACTCTATGTTTCGACGATCTTTGGCTGTTCGTTATAAGGCTCGACAAAAAGTCCAGGATGCCGAGAGCAAGGACATCTTCCCGAAGGACCCGACGCTCAAGGATT